CCTGACAAATGAGTTCATTTCATATTACACTTGACAGTCCCACTTTCAACTGCCCAGTCAAGCCCCTTTTGTTCCGGACCACATCCTGTGCAAACAGTTTCAGATCAGCAGTATCACTCCTGTACTAAGTCCTTACCCTGCCAGCGATGACAGATTTTACAGTTGCTGATCTCCAGCCTAATTGGATCGTTGGAAGATAGTGCCCAGGAGTGTCACAAAATCGTCTGAGCTATGCTGCATCTGAAGGTGGGTTGCCCATTTTGTACCGCTCTTGCTTGTTAGGACATTTATAAATCCTATTCAAGTTCAATCCATAGGAAAACATTTATATCTGAGGCATCTGTATGATTAACATTGTGTGAGGAAGGTAATAACTTTGCTGGATTCCCATTGTATTTGGCCGGCAAAGATGTGTCCTTGGAGGGCTCTAGCTGCTGCAAGTGTTCAAGCAGTGGCTGCCAGATCTTGGGCTGAGATTTGTACGGACACCACAGTTGTGGCTGATTCTGCCCCACTTGCCGAGTTAGCTGATTATCATGGGTTCCAACTTACTTCTGATATTAGAGCAAGGTGTTGGTGACTTGAATATTAGTAAGTTCGCGAGAGGAGCTGTAACTATTGCTTAACATTGGATTTTGGGTAGGAATAGGCAGATCTTGCAGTCAGGTATCATGCCGGGCACTGTAATAAATCTCATGTCTTCAAATACTTAACTTCATATTTAGGAATCTGCTTACATCCAAAACATATAGACACAACCCAGCTAAATGTTGCTTTATTGCAGATAAGGCAGAAGCCCTGTGACACAGAAGATGCCTATCATCTCTCTGTCTCTCTCTCCCCCCACCTACCTCTGGCTTTAAATTCTAGGGTTGGAATTTTCAAGATAATGGAAATTGGGCCATTCCCTTCCCAGCCTTAACATTGGGAGACATTTGCTCAGTGTTCACGTAATGGTTCTGTCTAGCCTGAGAATCATTTGTTCCCACCTTTCCAGCTTCTTTCACCAATAAGTTTGTGTTAAGGGTTGTTATTACATGGCATAGATAACATAAAATAATTTTAAGCAGTAAATAAATATTTAATGTTGGGGTGGAGGGGTTGGCCTAAAGTTTCATTTCAGAGAGGAATTTAAAAAGGGAGGGGATAGGAAAGCATGTCTTATCTGCTGAAAAACATAAACTCCCATGCTCTTAAAAATGAAATTGTAGGGTGGGGTGTTTGATCAACTGCAGTTTCTGAACTTTTGTTGTGTGCACGTGCCTTCAAGTCAAGGTTGACTCCTGGCAACTGCCTGGACTAGCCCCTGCAGTTTTCTTGGCAAGATTTTCAGAAGTGGATTGCCATTGCCTTCTTCCTTGGGCTGAGAAAGAGTGATTGGCCCAAGGTCATCCAGCTGACTTTGTGCCTAAGATGGGACTAGAACTCACAGTCTCCTGGTTTCTAGCCTGGTGCCTTAACCACTGCACCAAACTGGCTGGGGCACCCAACTACAGAAAGTTTGAGAAACACTGATGTAAAGTGATACTTGAAGCATGTTCTTTGCTTTGCTGCATGCTAGCTTTCTTTATTACAAGTAGTCCTTGTTTAGTGACTGCCTCATTTAGTGACCATTCACAGCTACAATGGTGATGAAAAGGTAACTTTACAACCAATCCTCACATTTATAACTCCTGGCAACTGCAGGAGTCTGTAAAGCAAAGGAAAGCCTAAGTAAGATCATAAACACAGTTGTGGTTTCACTTAGCGACTGCTTCACTTAACGACCAAGTTGTAAGTCCCAATTGTGGTTGCTAAATGAGGACTACGTGTATAGGGAGCCTTGCAGGCTGCAAAGGAGGCATCTGCAGAACCATTGGTACTATGGGCATCATAATGGAAGGCCCAACACCAAACTGACACTGCTGGTAGGAGGCTTTGAAGTTTATATAACAGCTGAATCACATCACCCTACTTTATTTCCTTTCGTTCTTTATTTTAGAAAATTTGCAATAAATTTTTAGGTCAGTTGCTGAGGAACAGGCTTACTTTTAAACTGCCAAAGATCATCTCAGCCTATTTAACATAAAATCAATGCACTGTTCATTAAAGAAATGGAGTACTACTTTGCAGGATTTCCCCAATTAATTGCAGACAATTTCCTTGAAGCCACCACCAGTTGCACATTTCTCTTATTTGGTTCCTGAGCATTTTGCCAAGGATAGATTGAGAAGGAGGGTAAAAATGTTCAAACAGGGGCATCCACAGGGGGTAGTCAAGAAGTTCAGGATGGTGGCCATGAAGCTTTGCCTGTTTTTTTATGTGCACCACCATCTTGACCTGTGGACACCCCTACCTGTCAGCTGTTGTTTGGGCAACTTTGAAAATGGGATTTTGAACAAGAAACACAGAGGGCAGCACTACATCAGTGCTGAAAAGCAGCCCAGGTATTGGCTGACTCTGTGTGTGCGTGTGCGTGCGTGCGTGCATGAGCACACACACAGACAGCATAGCAACAAAGGGAGAGGCAAGTCTCTCACACCTGCTTCAGAGTGCAGTGCAGTTCCCTTCTACCATTACTAGCCAGGTACTGTTGGGGCTGATCCCGGTTTCTGAGCTAGAAGATCCAGAGGTAAAGCTCAGTTTGAAAGCACTGACCTCTCCCAATGTCCATACCAGAATGACCCTGGAGAGCAGATCAGAGGGGGGACGCATGCCTCCTCCAGCCTGGCCAAGAAGTGCCAGGCTGTTTCCACCCCCAGGATTCACTTGACAGTGCCCACAACATTTTTGGTGAAGCACATCAGATTGTACCTACAATTAACCTGCTATGGCTCATGGGCTGCTTAAAGGGGAAAACAACCCCTCCATTTTAACATTAGAACAGCTAAGTATTAATCTGTCTCTGGTATGGGTTGGGAACAAGATGGGGACATGATGGAAAAGGGAAATTGCCGGATTATATCTGTGCCATGATTAGACGTGGAGATGACTGGGGCTTGGTTTGGCCTGGGTTTCTGGGATATTTGATCCTGTTGAGCCTGATGAACTGGACAGGGTTCTTGTGGTTGTTAGCTCAGCTACCTCTGCTTTAGATTCGTGTCCCTTCTGGTTGGCTAAGTTTTCCCAGGACATGACAGGTGGTTGGGTCTGGGCAGTGGTGAATTCCTGTTTGAGAGAAGAGGTGGTTCCATCATCTCTTAAAGAATCCCTGGACCTGTCTGCTCTGGACAATTTTCATCCAGTCTCTAACCCTCCCTTTTGGGGGAAGGTTGTGGAGAAGGTGACTGAGCAGCAGCTCCAGAGAACTCTGGAAGAAGCAGATTATCTGGACCTCTTTCAGTCAGGATTCAGGCCTGGGTAGGAGATTGAGATGACAGTGATCGCATTCTTGGCTGGCCTCTGGTAGAAGCAGGATGGGCTTGATGCATCAGTCTTTTCTCTGCTTGACTTCTCAGCAGCTTTTCATACCATAGATCATGGTATCCTTCTGTACTGGCTTTGGGGGTTGGGGATGGGTGGCACTGTGTTATACTGGTTCTGTTCCTTTTTCCAGTCAGTGTTGATAGAGCCCATGCCCCCTACTTTGTGAGGTACTGCAGCTCTTGGTACTCTCTCATTGCCTGTTTAACACATACATGAAGCTGATGGGTGAAGTCATCTGACAGTTTTGGGATGAGGTATCATCAATATCATCCACATGACATTCTTTATATCTCTACCCCAGACTGATGCTCTTGGTATCTGGAGGCAGTGGGGATCTGGATGGGGAACAACAAGTTTCAACTTAGCAAGACTGAGTGGCTCTTAGGAGCCCCTGGTTCTGGGGAGATTTTCATCTTTAGTTCTGGATGGGATTGGACTACCCAGACAGAACCTGTGCGCAATTTTGGGCTCCTCCTGGACTTGCAGCTCCTGCTCAAAGAGCAGGTAGCAGCCATAGCTAGGAGAGCCTTTGCACAACGACGTGGTGACATGGCTTCATTTTACAGTAAAAAAAGAAAGTGCAATAATTGCAGGCATAAAGATGCAGAAATGATGGGAAAGGTGACTTGTTAAGTCTTAGAGTCTCACTTAGGAACTGAAGTTTAACAATCTTCAGCTCCAAATCCCAAAGTTCTGAGCAGGGCCAAATGGTGTTATGTAAAAAACATGGGAATATATTTAATGTGCCCATTTTTGTTTCTGTTTTAAATAGCAGCTGCAGGGGCCTGTCAGGAATTGCAGGAGTCAAGGAAGGTTGCTGTAAAGAAAATGAAAAGTTCTTGTCTTTACACTTGCAAGGGCATCATTCATACCCCAGGGTGTGAAGCTGACATTGAACCAACCACTTTTTTCCTGGGACAAAAAAGAACAGTACACGTCATTTGGATATCAGTACCATTTAAAGTACTAGAATTCTGGTTCTGCTCTTACTTGACAGTGGAAATTAGTGTTTATCTGATAGTCATTATTTTTTGCAGCCCAGGTTCTAAAGATTAAGGAGGATAATCTATACCTAAGAAATGTTTGACTTCTCCCCAAAGGGTTTAAATTTAGCCTTACCTGCGGCAGAAATTTTAACAAGCAGAAATGTAGGGTTGGGTTTTTTTCTTTTCTTTTGATGTCTAATGTTTTTCTTTAAAGATTGTTTTGTTAATTGTAGATGTTAAGAATGTAAAAAAAAAAAAAAGCATAGATGTACAGCAGATTAGCTGCCACACTCCAATAAACTTTCCTGGAAAGTACTTTAGGAGGCCCAGGGTAGGCTGCATGGCACACACAACTGGGCTTTCCCAGAGAGGAGGATGCTCAGAAGGAGTGGCTGAGGAGTTGCTACTGCTGCCTATCCCTCAGCTGCGTCACTCTGCTCCAAGGTAGAGCCAACCCTGCACTTGCGTTCTTGTCAAGAATGCTACTCATTTTCAAGTGTGAGAGACTGTGGGGAGGCTGGGAAAGGAATGGATGAGATGAGGATGAGGATTACGTGCCATCAACTCATTGTTGACTCTTAGCGACCACATAGATAGATTTCTCTGTGATGATCTGTCCAAGACATAAACAATCAAGAGACAGCCGATGAGTCAGTTGATAGCTAATCACATAAATAGCAAACTTAGCACAAGTGGAAAAAAATCTGAGAAGGTGCATTTCAAATTTCTCAGAGAAACTTGACTTTAATTAATGCTCTGTAAATGAAGGTGGGAAGTTCTTATTTGCATTTCCAAGATTCTGTATTTACTCCTAACTGACATTAAAGATACCTTCCTGAAATCTGTGTGGTTGTTGCTTGCTTGGTCTTACCAGTTGTGTTGGGCTTGAAACCAAGGGACTAATGCAAAAGAAGTTTCTGGTGCCCTTCAGCCAATAGGTGTTAAATGAGCATATCATGTCTTTGGACACTAATTAATATTAATCAATATTTAATCAAATTATTTTAATGTACCATTAATATTAATATAGTAATATAAACATTTTCCTGCAGAAAGTGATTTGATAACGTACAACAAAGTACATGAAAAATAGTAAGTGGTGAGATTCTATTTAGGATTTCTATGTGAGCTTTGAGCACATGATTCCAGTGAATAGAAATAGCTGGGGGAAAGTATTTGGGCACCATCCAAATGCCTTGGAGGCCAGTGGATGGATGACATGTGCTCTGTGAGCCTCTCAGTTTTTTTCCTAAGGGGAGCTTCTTTGATCTGCTTTTAAAACTTCCTCACCATATAACTGACTTTTTTTGATCTGTTGCTATGTTTCTGTGTGAGTGCGCATTTGTGTGTGTTTCTGAATAGAAGGGAATAGAAGGGCTTACAGAGGCCACTGAACTCTCTGAGCATTTCTCTGAATCATGGCTATTGAATAAAAAGTCCATCCCAAGCCTTTTTACCAAATTCTTTTTCTTTTTGTTTTTTGTCTCATAGGTGATTTAGAAGAGAACGTTCAGCTTTGCTTTACAAATTCTGGTAGTTCCATGCCTGTATGCAGGTTGAGAAACCCCAATTGTTCCAGGACAAAAGCAGGATAAGCCGCTTCAGTGAATTTGTACTTGATAGCAGATAGCACCTGCCCCCTTTCTGCGTTGAGAAATAGGAGTGTTCCAGTATTGTAGTCTAGCAGGATGCCAATCCGGGCAGGCTGTTCAGTCACAATAATTTCAGTCATCTGGCCATTGTGGAGTACTTTATATACAGAACTGCAAAGAGCAAAAAATATAAAATCAATGAGAATCCATTGCAAGGGTCCATCACAGAATTTGTTTAGCTCACCACTATCTCATCATTAGATCTCATCTAATGCCAAATTGACTGAAAAGACCAACTTGAAGCCTGTTCCATGGATTGGCAAAAAAGTTTCTGAGATCTGAAAAGTGCTGCGCAGAACTCCCACACTTATTTAGAAAGAGATCTCAGACCTTTAGAATAAGGATGTGGAATCCCAACCCTTGTCAATGCATTCCAACAGGCTTTTTTAATGAGAAAAGCACAGGGTAAGATCATAACTTAATTAGCATACTGTATATACATAGGATCATTTAAAGAGACAAGCATTTGCCTTGATTTATTTTGGGCAAGAAAAGCAATACCTATTTTCTGGAGTTGTTGTATACTTTTTTGAATATTGTATATAATATATCTGCCTAATGCACTCCAAATGCATTGGACTGCAATTATCTGCATTCTCAACCAGCATCCTGCCTGGAAATTTCTATTCTAACTGGGAATTTGGAGAGTTGCAGTCCAACATATTAAAAGGACACTAGGTCAAGATAGGGACACCCCTACACAATTTGTTGCCTATAGGCAAGATGATATACCTCTCTTCCTTCTAGATACAGAACTGATTGTTGACTTATCCAAGAGCAGTAGGTGGATAAGAACAAGCTATGTCTGTTTGGACTCTATCCTCCAAACAGAAGCACAAAGCTCAGGAAAACAGCCAAGGCACGTCCGCTGATGTGTTGTAACATTTGCTCCCTAAGCCCATTGGCTTGTTTTGGCTTATGCTAGGGCCAGTTCTAGGCTGGGGAAATTAACCTACAGTCTATGGTGACAAATGGACTGTATGGATTCCAGCATTTCTTCTGTATGGAATCTGACAATGGGACCTAAGGAACCAGAGTTCTGACTACCCATCCTCATACTCCTTCACATATGCATTTCTAGACAGAAATAATTATCTCCATAGGATTAATCATGGTGGCCATTCTTACAGGGCTGCTCAGATTATTACTAAGTATAAATATATATGCTGCCCTTCATTTCATCAAGTAGTCATTTCGAAATGCAGTATTACAGATACTAACCACCCTCTTCAATAGAAGATTGTGAATATTACACTAAAAGTACTGATCAGATTATGGAAAAGAGAAGGCTGAAAACTGCCACAATGTGACCTTATCTGCCAGAAAAAGGAGACAGAGTATATCACTAGAGCACTATTCCCAGCTAACGATCATCCAGCATTGCAGAGTTCTGGATTCACTCCAAGAAAACTGGTCTCTCTTTCACTCCCAATACCAGTTATATCATCAGGATGACCTCGAGCGAAGCAGCTGTGGGAGCAATGTATTAACTATACAGCAAATTGCCCCAGGATAGGACAGATGGATCTCATGGTTGGAGGATTCATTACAACAACAAATTGCAGGGGTTCAAAGCTCTGTTCCTATTTCAGTTAATGAAAATTATACAACCAGAAAATCAGGAGGAGAATCTTATAGTGAAATTTTGTTCAACCCATTCTTTCATATAGAGAGATGGAAGCTTGCATTCAGATTTGTCTAGGTATTATTCAGCTTCAGTTATAAATGAAACAGCAATGGCTACTTTGCAGGGATGCTGCAAAACTGCCAGTAAAAGTATGGAAACAAGCAAAAACAGAAAGTCTTAATGCAGGAAGGGGAATATGATTTATCAGGAATAACTGAAACCAAGGGGATGAAACTTGGGCTGCATCAACAGTGGTATAATGTTAAGATTATGAGACATGATATTCCGTGCTGTGCTGTGCTGTGCTGTGCTGTGCTGTGCTGTGCTGTGCTGTGCTGTGCTGTGCTGTGCTGTGCTGTGCTGTGCTGTGCTGTGCTGTGCTGTGCTGTGCTGTGCTGTGCTGTGCTGTGCTGTGCTGTGCTGTGCTGTGCTGTGCTGTGCTGTGCTGTGCTGTGCTGTGCTGTGCTGTGCTGTGCTGTGCTGTGCTGTGCTGTGCTGTGCTGTGCTGTGCTGTGCTGTGCTGTGCTGTGCTGTGCTGTGCTGTGCTGTGCTGTGCTGTGCTGTGCTGGTCAGACCGTACCTGGTATACTATGTTCAGTTTTGGTCACCACAATACAAGAAGGATGCTGAGAACTGGAAATTGTGCAGAGAAGAGCAACAAAGATGGCAAAGCACTTGGAGGCTAAATCCTATGAAACTTGGTCATAAGAAGTGAATATGTGTAGCCTAAAGGAGAGAAGGCTAAGGGGAAGCATGATAGCAATCTTCCAATACTGTCACAGGTGTAGATTTATTCTCGGCTGTACCTGGGGGGTAAAACAAGAACTAACGGGTGGAAGCTTTTCAGAGGGAGATCCAGACTCAAAAGAAGGAATCATTTTCTGGCCATGAGAGCTATTATGCAATGGGACAGCCTGCCTCCTGGAGTTGTGAGTGCTCTGTCACTGGAGGGTTTTTTTTTTAAAAAAAGGTTGGCCTGCTGTTGGTCCAGGATGGTTTGAGATTCCCACCCTAGGCAGGGTGTTGAAGTAGAAGACCTCTATACTCCCTTCAAACACTTTGGTTCTATGATTCTCTGAAACCTATCAGTGGAATGCAAAGATTGAAGGGTATGTGAAAGAAGTGCATACATGTACTGAGATCTAGGCATTTGGGAACAAGACTCTACCCAAGAGCGTTTGGGTAAGAATACAAGGAAGGGGAAAGAACAAAGATACAGTACTATAGTACTTCCACCAAATCAGGTAAAAAATCTGGATAATGCCTTCCTGGACTTTCAGGGTACAGAGACATATTAATAATGGGAAACTTAGATATCTCTTGGAAAAACAACTCAGCCAAAACTGCACAATCCTTGGGGTATTACTATTTCATCTTCCAGAAGGGTGACATTTAGCTCTCTTACCACTGATCAAAGCCAGTGGAGAACAGCTGGTTGAGGAGGTAAAAGCAGTGGAAACTTTGGGAGGCAGTGATCAAATCAACTTACAGAATAGCTGCCATGCATACTGGATTTCAGGAAAGCTCATTTAAAGAAGCTTAGAAAATTACTGCATCAACCTTTCCCAACCTTTCAGATGAGTTGGAACCACAATTCCCAGTATGCAAACTATTGGCTGGTTGGGAATTCTGGGTATTGCAGCTCCAACACTTCTGCAGAACACTAGATTGGGAAATAAGGCTGGCATTCGAATTTGTTTTTGTTTTTGTTTTCCTTCAATCTTTTCCTGACTCCTTAAATTTTTAAGTGTGGAAGTTGGACTTTGAAGGATAGGAAGAATATTGATGCTTTTCAAATATGGTGTTGGAAAAAACTCCTAAGAATGCCATGGACACTCAAGAAAACCAACAAATGAATCATCGAACAAAACAACCCAGAGTTCTTACTAGAGGTATAAATGACCAGACTCAAAGTATTCTACTTTGGATATATTATGCTAAAACCTAGCTCTCTGGAGAAGGCCCCAGTGCTGGGAAAGGTGGAAGGAAAGAGAAGAAGAGGATGACCAGCAGCAAGGTGGATGGATTCAGTTACAGTGTCAATAAGATGCACCATTGGAAAACTTAAAGGACCAGTTAGGGACAGATTTTCATGGAGAAAATCTCTCTATGTGGTTGTTAAGAATCAACACTGACTTGATGGCATCAACACTGACTTGATGGCACGTAATCAGTTATTCAGTCAATTTTCTAAATAAGTCATCTTCACTGCTTCTGGCAGATATTATTTTTATTCTCATTTTGCACCAATATTCAATGACTATTAATACTAACTTGTTATTTTAGTGTCAATTCTCTCTCTTAATAAACTTTCATTCTTTCTGTGGAGCACTTTCTCATTCACTGGGAGCAAGGCATCCATGAGAGGAGGTCAAAGAAGACAAGATGGGAGCTGTGACAACAGCACTGAAGCCCTGCCACTTTTTACACTCAGTCATGTCTGCCATCTTGACTTTTTTGAAACTCTCTCTCTCTCTCTCTCTCTCTCTCTCTCTCTCTCTCTCT